GTAATTCTGAGTTTATATCTCACAGTTATGACTTTTTCTCTCACAATTCTAAGAGACAAGTGAGACTCTTGCATTTCCATGTTTACATCTTGTAATTCTGAATTTACATTTTGCAATTGTCTTTTTTTTCTCAGAATTCTGCATTTACATCTTGCAATTCTGTTTTTTGTTTCTGCCATAGAATAAAAAAGGTAAATGGGATTTTATCTCACAATTCTCACTTTTTCGCAATTGCCATTTCAACTTTTCTTCTCAGAATTGCAAGTTTACATCTTAATTCTGAGTTTATACAGTATGTCGCAATTCTGACTTTATATCTCACAATTCTGAGATATGAAGTCAGAATTGTGAGATAAAAAGTCGAAATTAACTTTTTATTTTTTTATTCCGTGATGAGAACAAGCTTCCACAAGTCTCTGTCTTTGGTTGTTCAGTGCACATATTGACAGATGCTTACAGAATACTTGCATACAAACAAAATTATATACCAATGCATACTGCATACTATAGAAATCTTACGAGTTGGGGGTGAGATGCATGTGTGTTTTAACACTGTTCTGGAGTGACAGCAGATGGCGAGCTTATGTAATTACGTGTGGGCGAGAGCAACCAACAGCAACGTGTTTGAATTCAAGGCCCCCAGATCACGTCATTCAAACACACACACACACACACACACACACACAGAGCATGAAAATGTGTGGTGATTAATATCGCTTTCTGGTTTATGCTAGAAATATCGCTAGAAATACACTGCAAAAAATGATTTTTCAAAGTTGTAAAGTACATTTCAGTACATTTTGAGAACTTTTTCGAAAATCTAAGTAAAAATTTCACATTTCATTCAACGTGTTCCTGTTTCTTTGTAATTGTCTGTGAAATTGACTAGCAATTTCTGAGTGAAAATTGTTTCTACACCATTTTTGTCCTGTGTAGAAGATCAAGTCTCTGTTTCCAGCATTAAATTTGAAAAAAAAAAAAATGCAAAAAGGTAATTGCGACTTTTTAATCTCACAATTCTGATTCTTATTCTTGTAATTCTGAGTTTATATCTCACAGTTATGACTTTTTCTCTCACAATTCTAAGAGACAAGTGAGACTCTTGCATTTCCATGTTTACATCTTGTAATTCTGAATTTACATTTTGCAATTGTCTTTTTTTTCTCAGAATTCTGCATTTACATCTTGCAATTCTGTTTTTTGTTTCTGCCATAGAATAAAAAAGGTAAATGGGATTTTATCTCACAATTCTCACTTTTTCGCAATTGCCATTTCAACTTTTCTTCTCAGAATTGCAAGTTTACATCTTAATTCTGAGTTTATACAGTATGTCGCAATTCTGACTTTATATCTCACAATTCTGAGATATGAAGTCAGAATTGTGAGATAAAAAGTCGAAATTAACTTTTTATTTTTTTATTCCGTGATGAGAACAAGCTTCCACAAGTCTCTGTCTTTGGTTGTTCAGTGCACATATTGACAGATGCTTACAGAATACTTGCATACAAACAAAATTATATACCAATGCATACTGCATACTATAGAAATCTTACGAGTTGGGGGTGAGATGCATGTGTGTTTTAACACTGTTCTGGAGTGACAGCAGATGGCGAGCTTATGTAATTACGTGTGGGCGAGAGCAACCAACAGCAACGTGTTTGAATTCAAGGCCCCCAGATCACGTCATTCAAACACACACACACACACACACACACACACAGAGCATGAAAATGTGTGGTGATTATACTAATTGCATATGAGACCACTTTAGAAGCACACACACACAGCTGTCAATCTGAAGTGCCTTCACACTCAAAGCTCCTCCACATGAGCAGATCATGTAATGCTGTTGCATTTGTCTAACAAGCTGCTTCCTGTTTCATCTGTGTAATTTTACTTGTACTATGTGCTCATCTGTAATAAGCAGAACGTCACTGACTGATAATAATGGCTTTGCTACCACACTACTATTTCTGCAGTGCACATACACTGACAGAAAATAAATGTAATTTTTAAATTGACAACTTTTTATCTACTCTAAAATGTGTAAATTAGTACCTTAAACTAGTCATATGTACCCTTACTGTGCTACTATGAATCTTTGGTACCTCTTTACTTGAAGGCTTTATATATAATGCATTATAAAACTATTTTTAATGCATTAATTATGCCTTGTAATGCACATTATCATGCATTGAACGCATTATGCTAGCCACACTTATAATAGATTATATTGATTCATTCATTCATTAACTTTGGTTACAGTAATTTATGAAAATATATAATACATTACAATGTACATTATGAATACTTACATAATGAATTATTCATAAATGCTTTAAGTAAAGAGTTGCTGAAACTTTTAGGGGTAAACAAGGTACAAATATGTCCATTTGTGTGTACTGCCCCAGTGACAATCTGTTTGAACCCTAAATACAGAAACTTGCTTTGTATCTGCCAAATGCATGAATGTAAAAGTACTACATTTACCAAAATGTGCAGTATAGAATGGAGCACACTCCATTGGGAATCCCACAATGCAATGTATATAGCTTAAACTCCTATTTTAATGAATGAAACAGAGACGACATCTATTTCATCTTATTATTTGGTCCAACTGCCAAAGGTTAAGATGTTTGAAAATGCTAAATAATCTAAACGAGCAAGATAATGTCATATGACAACAATGTTGCATTACACTCCTAAAAATAAAGGTTCTTTATTGGTATTGATGGTGAAGAACCTTCAACATCCATGAAACCTTCTATGGTTTTTTCTAGCAGAAAAAATGTTCTTTAGATTAAGAAAATGGTTTTTTGAAGAACTGTTTACTGAAAGGTTCTCTGGGGAAACAAAAATGGTTCTTTTATGGCATCACTGTGAAAACTCCCTTTATTTCAGTGCACTATGCAAGTACTCTGCAATCTCTCCTTTTCATTTCCCACTTCACAAGCGTAACAGTGACAGGAAACTGCCCTGAAATCATCTTCTAATTAGTGTCAGCGATACGGCAATGATTGAAAACAATTCTGGCCAGATGAAACCCTGGTGTCGCACCAGGACTCCAAATAAAACAGCTGTTTTAAAGTGGATGCACTCGAACTCTCACTTCCTTCTGTTTCTCGCTGTCTTCCTAACACACACACACACTGGCAGTGCTGTACATCTAAATAGCCCGAGTGACTAATTCCTGTGCATTTCAGTGTTCTGCGCTGTCTGTTCTGGGCTGTTAGGATGGAGTGTGTGAATCATAGTCATTGTGGTAATTGCTCCTCTTTGTCTTCCCCCACCCCGCTCCGTTCTGATTGGTTAATGAGGCTCGTTAAATGCACCAGGTTGTTCGTTCAGTAGAAGAGACAGCTGAGCTCAGAGGGGGACGTCAGATGGCCTTTTCTGTCTTAAAAAGCTCTAAATTTAATCAGCCAATAGCATTTAGGAAAAAATAACACCGGCACTGTTTGTTGGCTCCATATATTTAGTTGCTTACTGCATCATTAGATGTTTAAACCACTAATGGGGCGAGGAAGTTTTCGCTCATACAGCAGTGGGGCACATTACTGTTCCCAAAGGTCAAAATGTGTGTTATGCTGCTTACAGTCTTAATGATTTAGTGTGTGCGTGTGTGTGTGTTTGCAAAAGCTACATTCTGCAGCCTGGCAATTATATGTTCTTTTTTATCGTACTGAAAATCTGTTGGGTTTTTCCACACTGTTTTTCAACCATCAGGTGCTGAAACTTGCATGTGAATGTTCCTGGAACGGTTCAAAGCACATGAATGTTTAATGAGGCAAGCATTGACAAGTTTGTGATTGATTTTCGCCGGCTTCAGTAGAAACTGCAACATTAGTAAGATTAAATTGAATTGTGAGAATGAGAGTCTGACCCTTACAGATGAAACTTTACTCAGCCTCAGTCCATCCAAGATGTAGATGAGTTTGTTTCTTCATCAGATTTGGAGAAATGTAGCATTACATCACTTGTTCACCAATGGATCCTCCTCTGCAGTGAATGGGTGAATTCACTGGAAGAAGCATTATTATGGATTATGGAAGCAACGGTTTCTTTATTATGATTTTTTTCTTTATAAATACGCAGCTTTTCACTTCTCAAGATGTTAACTGATGGACTGGAGTGGTGTGGATTACTTGTGGATTATTGTGATGTTTTTATGTTTGGACTCTCATTCTGACGGCACCCATTCACTGCAGAGGATCCATTGCTGAGCAAGTGACGTAATGTTACATTTCTCCTAATGTGCTCTGATGAAGAAACAAACTCATCTACATCTTGGATGGCCTGAGGGTGAATGCATTTTCAATTTTCATTTTTGGGTTAACTGTTCCTTGAAGTGTAATGTGAAACGATATTATGAATACTGCAACTTAATGCTCTAACACAAAATGTTGTGTAACTTGTGCATAAAATGGTAACAGCGACCTACTGTAAAAGAGCAACATGTTTAAGCAAAGTGCTGAAACTTTCATTTACAATCCTCAAAACATAAGTCAGAAGTGAAATGAAGAAATCCTCACTAGCACGTATTTCTGTTTTGCTGATAAAGCGGTTATAAAATCCCCACAGAAGTGTAACTCAGGCCATGACTCTTAAATTTTCACTTCACTAAAGATCTGTCTCCAAGGGATTGCATGTTTCTAATGCAGTGATAGGCCTACTGTGGAGACACATTTGTTGAAAACATCATTAAAATTTAAATTCAACATAACACAGCATTTGCAATGCACTCTAATGTATTTCTGATTTAAACCATGATTGTTGTTTTTGTAGCATGTAGGCTACATTGTTCTGATTGAGTAATGTCACTGTAAATAATGTGTGCATGACCAAATAGGTTTGTCTGTTCGTGTGATGAATGGGTTTGTGATCAATGCATGTACTTATGTGATTGAGTTAATTATTGTGTGTGATAGAATCAAATGCGCATGTTTGCATGATGAATGTGTTTTTGTCGGTGTGATAGTATTACTTCTGCGCGCGCACTGGCATGTCATGTGACTCGTGTCATATGATCGTCGCTGTATAAGTTCAGTAGCACGCGGCTGGTCAACAGTTTCAGTGCCGCAGGTGCGCGGAAGGACGAGAGGGACACGCGTTTGTATCCTTGCGTCTGGTCAGCTATCACTCCCGTTATATATCGCTGTCTGTCTGCTGTCGAGCCGTCGTAAGGATGCGTGCGCTCGCCCTCATTGTTTTGTTGGCGTTTATCGGCGGGTCTGCGGCCGACACTCCGGCCAACTGCACCTATGAGGACCTGCTGGGCACCTGGATCTTCAGCGTGTATGATGTGGGTCACGATCGAACCATCAACTGCTCCAGCACAGGTCAGACCAGATCACACTATCTGAATCAGTGCGCTTTTGTCTTCCACACGGAAGTTCAGTTTTACTTTCGGTTTCATGCTGAGGTCTTCAGCTGAACATCTGTGCCTCTTTTTAATATAATAGACCTAATTATAGGTGTTATACTAAAATGATGCGTTAAGGATGGCACAGAGATTTACTTTTTGGATACTCTTAATAACACTGGTACTGTGGTAGTACCATGATGTTACAATGATTAGCAAGCATTGCTATTATACTTTGTTTGCTATTTACCATGTTACTGAATGATTACCATGTTCGTATACCATAGTATTTCCAAGCTACTCCAAGTAAAAAAAAACATGGTTTTGTAGTAGTCATAGTAGTATTTTGTTGGTGTCAGTCCATTAGAGCATATTTTTTCCTAATTAACAACATTATATCACTAATGCTGTCTGAGAGTACAACAGTAAACTTGATTGTTATTTTTGATAAATATTGTATATAGTGTTTCCTTTCCCCATTGTATATGTTGGGTGTGTTTTAAAACCTAGTACACTGCCCAGAAATGTTGTCTATGAAGGCATCAAAGGTGCATTTGAACATTCAAAAGCAGCTTCGTTAGTATACTTTAACATTTACCATGCTACTGACTGAGCGATTACCGTGTTCATGTGCCATGGTATTTCCAAGTTACTCCAAAGTTATACCATGTCAAAAACATGGTTGTCCGATATTAATGTAGTGTTTTTGTTAATGTCAGGTCATTGGAGCATGTTGAGAAAGGAAAAAATGAAATCGCATCATATGACCCCTTTAACAATACTATATTACTACTTTAATTCTGACTGAGAATACAAAAGTGTAAACTTAATTGTCATTTTTGGTTTATATTGTGTGTATATAGTTTCTTTTTCCTATTGTAGATGTTTTAAAAACCTTCATAGGCAGCATTTGTGGGCTGCATCATAGGTGCATCTGAACATTCAAAAGCACATATGATGTACAGAATGCTATATATAGGCAGGTATTGAATGGCAGCCATTGTGTTTGCATATCACCAAAGCTACTTCCTTAAGTTTCTAAATTCAACTCTGTTGACTTTTAAACAGGAAAGTCAGTGAAAACGGTGACCGTGGACCTGCAGAAGCTGTCTGTAGCTGTGGATGATCTCGGTCACACTGGCTTCTTCACTCTCATCTATAACCAGGGCTTTGAAGTGGTGATCAATGACTACAAGTGGTTCGGGTTTTTCAAGGTAAGAATGATGAGACACTTTTAGTCTTGGTAACAGCACATGACTGATCAGATGACCGTGGTTTCATAACAGAAGGGAAATTCTGACATCAGCTCTTTTGTGTTTCTGTTCTTTATTGTACTGGTGTCTAGCTCAATAAATGTGGGATGATTTTACACATGCAATCTTTTTTTTTTTGTGAGATCCTGTTATTTTAGTATTAATACTATTACAGTATTTAGTAGTATTTGGAATTAGTGTTTTTATATTTTAATTTTTTTTATTTCATTTAAATTTTTTTCATTTTGGTACTTCAACTTAAACTTATTGCAGTAGTTTCCAAGGCAACTTTTTAAACCAGTGTTTTATTTCATCTACCAAAAACAAGAAAATGTTGATTATTTTAGTTAACAATAACAACACAGCGTTCAAACAATAAGAAATCAACAAAATATGAAGACTTTGCCCTTCATATACATTATAAACAATTTTAGAATTAGACCATTTATGTAGTTTTGCATAACCCTAGTATTAAAAGGATCACATGATGTTGTTTGGGAATCACATAAAATGCTTAAATCTATTCATAATAATAAATGTGCTTTAACGGTAACGTTATTGCATTGAGTATTATTTCTTTTTCTCTGTGCGTCTAGTATTCTCAGCAGGGTTCAGAGGTGACCAGTTACTGCGATCAGACGCTGCCCGGTTGGGTTCATGATGTTTTGGGGAATAACTGGGGCTGTTTCACTGGGAAGAAAGTGCAGCCCATCCCACCCCGAATCGACCACAATCACATGCTTGGATTCCAACACAAACTGTAAGTGTGTCAGCAGTTTTTGTTTCTCACTTGTGAATCGATTGTCCTTTAATTGCTCTCTATATCTTGATAAGATCTCATGTGATTTCATCAACCTTGAGTGATTGATGCATTTATTGGGTTTCATGATAACAAACCTTTGATCTCTAGGCTCATGAAGCTGCCATACACAAACAACATGGGGTTTGTGAATCAAATAAACTTAGTTCAGAAGTCTTGGAAAGCGACAACATACAGTCTCCATGAGACCCTCACCATACAGGAGATGCTGAGAAGATCAGGAGGACATGCCTCTCGTATACCACGGTACGCTCACTTTAACTGGTGCAGTCAGGGCTTTTGTGAAAAATAAATAACTGATGCCTTTAGAATTGAGTTATTAGAGTTCATAAATGTCTGGTGTGATTTAGTTAGAAGCATTTTACAGTAAAAGTGGTTAACTGCATAGGTGATTCTTCTTCTGCAGAATATTGTGTACTGAATATTAAGAGTAGCAACATTTCATTTGGAAGATAAATGGTCATCTGTAATTTCATGTCAGTTTCTCTCTCTCTCTCTCTCTCTCAGACGTGTCAGGCCTGTGATGGTTTCTGCAGACAGTAAGATGGCAGCCGGTCTTCCAGAACACTGGGACTGGAGAGACGTGAACGGAGTCAGTTATGTTAGCCCTGTCCGCAACCAAGGTGTGTGTGTGTTGAGAGTGAGAGGAAATGCTGCAATCAAATGGTTGCTTCAATCTGTCCTGTATTGCTCCGAGTTGAGCAAGTGATGTATATCAGAAACCTCTTGGTGTTCTTTACCATCTGCAGTCGAGTCCTGGGAATAGCTTCAATATGCTGCTATTGATTGATTGATTGTTTTCACTCTAATCCAGGAAGTGTGTGTTATTGAATGATGTAGCTGTTCTTGCTATAGAATAGAGCCTGATAAATGATGCTAGAAACACTACCAGAAAATTACAAGCTTTTTATCTAGTCTGTGTTTGGCTATTGTTTATTTTTACAGAAATTTCCCCAACAAACCTAATACAGTACTTTTATTTATTTGTTTGTATAAGTGTGTAATAATAATAATAATAATAATAATAATGTAGTAATAATAATAATAATTGTGAAGTAAGGCTTCTGGAGAGGAGCCCATGGATATTCAATATTTAAACTTTTAATATTTACAATTTAAATTACGGAGTGTCTATTTACACTAAGTGCAAATAGCCCGCCTTGTTGGCAGAGGCTATTTACACTAGCTCCGCCCACCAACGTGTGATTGGACTAGTCAACATTACAAAACACGGTTGTCAGCTCCAGTGGCGCAGATGGTAAAACGTGTCGTATTCATTTTGACGCGATCGACCCGGGTTCGAATCCGCCTTTTGCCGAACATTTTTTTCTTCCTTTTCAAATTTCACATCACATCAGAAAAGCATTTATTTTCAATGAAAATGAAGGAAATAATCAAAAAGTTGATAAAGTATCTGGTTAGGGTAGGTGTAGAGAGGGCTTTTGTCCCAATAAGGTGGCATCCATTTAATAATTTTAATTAAAATTTAAAACAAACTCAATAAGTTATTGCATACTGTTTTATAATGTACTACAATACTGAGGTGCAGATAATTGCCACTATTTGCAATAAGTAGTATAAATAGCAGAAAATCCTGCTATTTTATCATAGTGTAAATAGAATCTATAGCTATTTGCACTTCGTGTAAATAGCATCTATCACTAAGAAAATATGCTATTTTCACTTAGTGCAAATAGCCGCTGCCTTTAAATTATACATAAGCCAGAGTGGGGGTGGGGGGGGGTTATAAATGTTGCCTTGACACTGAAATAAGTGAAAGTTTTTCATGTAGTAATTTATTTTCCTCTTTTTTTTTTTTTCTTTTTTTTTTAAATTACCGCAAATGTGGTGGCATTTTTAAGTTAACAATAATGCTGAGTTAAAACCATAAAATCAACAGAATGGACTGGTGTTTTTTTTTTTTTTTTTGCCACTGATCCTTTTTGATTTTCGCTTTGTCTTTTTGGGTCATTACTAGTAGGACCCAATGGTTAGCATGAGCTAGTTATCCTCCACTGGTACATGCAGTAACTACACCATCTTGTTTTAAAATGTATTTCAGAATTAACCATGTATTCTAAAGATATTTGTGGGAAATGGATATTTTTGGCCTGAAGTGATTTGGTTTAAGATCTGTGGTCCCATGAGCAAGATAACCAGGGCTTGTCACTAGTTTGTCTGTTTAAAGTCTTCTTATTTCTTTGTCTTAAGTTGAAAAACCAATTCAAAAGTCATATTGTGATTAGAAGCTTGGTGTCAAAGATGGTCAGACATCTTATGTACCTAAAGCATACTACTCTTGGGTTTACAATCTCATCTTTCCTAGTCAGTCGTGATGAGAAACACAAACTGATATAGTCTTGCTGGTTGCTTCTCTCTGAAATAAGTGTGAGGAGATGATCGGCTCTTCAAGCGCTGGTCGACGTGTCTGGAGTGGCTCGTTCCTTTCAGAGCCTGATAGTGTCTCACTTTTGTTAAGAGCTCCTTCAGATGCTCTAGACACATTAGAGGAGGCATGAGAGGATTAAAGGATAGTTCTGTAAGACAAGGAAATGAGGTTGTAAATTGACATTTTTTCATCTTTAAATGATTTCCTCTCTTTCTTTTCTTTCTCAAGCTCAATGCGGCAGCTGTTACTCTTTCTCCACTATGGGAATGCTTGAAGCTCGAGTCCGAATCCAGACGAACAACACACAGCAGCCGGTGTTCAGTCCACAACAAGTGGTGTCCTGCTCCCAGTATTCTCAAGGTAAAAGCACGTGTTGCTGCACTGAGGCAGTGTTTAATGTGAGCAGTATCTGTGCTGAGCTTCACAGGGCCTGTCTGCGTATTAGCAGTTATAAAACCGTGAATGTTTGCTTTTCCAGTACCCTCAGGATTATGGTGACACAATCCGATTGAGATCAGAATGGGTTCTTTGCGTAAATGTTTGACTTTGGGTTCCTCCTTTTTTTTTTTTTTTCTCCTTCCTGTAGGTTTTATAAGATTAAAAAGATTTATTTCTTTAGGGATGTAAAAATTGTATACTTATTTACATTATTCATTATTTAAGCTGTTGTTTTAAATATGTAAAGTTTCAGGATGAAATTCTCATTTTAATTGCATTTATGTGAACTTGTCCTTTATAAAATGTAATGGGAGGATGGATTGGGAGAGAAATGAAAGCATGTTAAAGGGATTGTTTTTTTTTTATTATTATTGGCTATTGTTTTTAATAATAAAATGTATTAGTAATGGTAATAGTGAAATTTTATTATATACAGTAGTTATATTATAAAATTGTTGCTACCAATGTTTTTTTTTTCTATAAATGCATGCTATTGTTTTTAATATGATGGCTTTTATTATTATTATTTATGCGTTATATTCTAAAATTATTGCTACTAAAAATGAATTATAATTTTTATCATGAATTATAATTTTTCTGATCTAAGCTGCAAGTTATTCTGATCTAAGTCAGTTTACTTTTTATACAATTGATTATACTATTGTTTTATATAAAATGATTATAAAAATATTATAAATGATGTAGATTATGATTATAAACAACAATGTTGTCATTCCCAGTGTTATTTTTGTATCGAGATACTATTACTATATATTGTTAATATTTTCTTTTTTTTTTTCCTGCTTTATTGTTAGTAATTTTAGGGTTTTTTTGTTTTTAAATGTCTATATAGTTGTTGTTTATTTCAGTTTTAGTTATTTTAGTACTTTTGGTTATTTTAGAAAATGAGAAGTGTTGCTTTAGGAACTAGCTAGTTTTATTATTTTATTTCAGTTAACATTTTTCAATTATTGAATATTATTGTTTTTTATTTACTGTATTTTTTGGTTTAGGTACTATAATAACCCTGGTTCTTCCCCTCTTTTTTTCCCCCCATAAATGTTGCAATTAATTGAATATCCTGAAGTTAACATTTTGGATTTTAGTCTGCATTTCATTTTTTTTTTTTGTCTTTTGTACAGGTTGTGATGGAGGTTTTCCATACCTGATTGGGAAATACATCCAGGACTTTGGCATTGTGGAGGAGGACTGTTTCCCATACACCGGGAAGGATTCTCCCTGCAAAGTACCTGAGAAATGCACGAGGTACTACGCCTCTGATTATCACTACGTGGGTGGGTTTTACGGCGGGTGCAGCGAGGCGGCCATGATGCTGGAGCTGGTCAGGAACGGCCCCATGGGTGTGGCCCTGGAGGTCTACCCAGATTTCATGAACTACAAGGAGGGCATCTACCATCACACCGGCCTCCGTGACTCCATCAATCCGTTTGAGCTGACGAATCACGCCGTGCTGTTGGTGGGGTATGGGAAGTGCCATAAGACCGGCGAGAAGTACTGGATCGTGAAGAACAGCTGGGGAACCGGGTGGGGTGAGAATGGGTTTTTCAGGATCCGTCGAGGAACAGATGAATGCGCCATTGAGAGCATTGCTGTAGCCGCTACACCAATCGCCAAACTTTAGACAGTGTAGACGAATTGGTCAGTTGAAACGAGCACGGCCTGGAGAAGTATTTTGATAATCGCAATTCTGAAAAAGGGAAAACAGTGCTGTTTTTTTTTGGTTTTTTTTACTTTGTCGCCAAGTTGTAAACGTCTAATTTGTTTTTGTGAAATGGCCTTTTCAGGTCCCTTTTAGTAGCAAACCGTTTGAACGTGAAATTACAAGTCTCTTTAGATTTGATTCGCTCTCATTTCCCAATTCTTCATACATTATGAAGCTTGAAACTAAGTTAATTTTGGCTTCAAGGTTCTCCTCTTTGGTTGTCGTCTTGGTCTTGTTCCATGTGAGTCGACATCATCTCTGTCTCCATAGCTTTTGACTTTCTCTTGCTGACCTCTAGGGAATTTATTCAACTTCTGTGCCTTTTACTGTTCTTTTTGGCAGCCCTTTAAGGAATAATGATGAGGCCTCTTCAAATTCCCAGTTATCATCTTTCTCTTAGCCACCTGTCCACCTGAAAACTCCTGATTCGGCCTGTCTTGGGTCACCTGCTCTTTCAATTGTTGCTGTCACCCAAAACCAACCCTGTCTATAGTGTAGTTATGGTTTTAAATTGATCTAAAAATCTTAATTTTTGTAGGTCTTGTCTCTAGATTTGCAGTGCCGTGTTTTGTTGCAACTGACCTGCTGCCTCCATCTGTTCATAATCTTCTACTTCAACACACAAACAAAGTTGTTCTGTCCTTTTTTGCTCTGTTTATGTGGATTTCCACAAGGACTGTGTGTATGACCAAAAACAGCATTTCATTTTTTTCCCCCTCCTTGTTGGATCTGTGCTAATGAAAGTTGGGTGCCTTCAGGTGCTGCAATGTGGCTCAACTGCTTATAATGTGTTTTTAAGAAAAGGGATTTTAGATTTTCATTGATCCATGTGAGCTCTGAATGTCACATTTGCACTCTGCCTTGTCAGTTTTTACACCACTCTTTTAATTGACATAGTCAATTTGTATTTAGAGAATATCAAGTTGGCAATTGCTCTCAGGAAAATCAGTACTTGTGATTTAATGAACAATCACTTGAGTCCTTTGCCAACCGTTAAGCTGCTCGGGACTATTTGAATCCAATCACAATCTTAGATTTTTGCCTTTTTTGCACCTGTATATGTGTCATGATTTTTAATAAAGTTGCTTTTAAGGTACTTTTGCCCTCAGGTGTACTTCACTTTTGTGTAGCCTAAGTGGAAAGAAATGCATGAAGTCAAATTTGTATTTATCCCATAAATTAGTCCATTTGAATCGGATTTCATATTAGTTCTGTCAGTTCAGAATTCAAGTGGGCTTTGGTCATTTGGGATGTTAACTATATGCCATGGTCTAAACATGGTATGGAAAATTGCTTTAGGAAACCGTGGTATCATGGTTTTATGATACATGTCCAAAAGTCTGTTTGTACCTGATTAACCATATTTTGGGGACACATTTGTACACAGAAGTGAGCTAGTTGAGTTACATTACTTTAGGTATGTCCACATCTGAATGGAAAAAAAAAAAAAACATTAAACAATGCAGAAACTTAAGTTACCTCTGTATAAAAACAAACCAAGTCTGTGTCCCCATTTAGACAGATAAACGTTTTTGTTTTTCTGATGACAGCTTTAGTATCAGGTTTAACAGGCAGCAAGTATGGTTACCATGGTATATTGGATAGTCAGTGTAAACTTATTATAGGACTTACACTTAAGTCTTCGCACATTTTCGTAATTGGTGAAGAAAACTTGCCAGTTGTTGAGGGCGTGATCCTCACACCTACTACCATGGTAACTACACTTCAGAGCGGTGGTATTTGGTGCTTTTTGTTGTTTAAGCGAACAGTAGTTTTAATTATGATCTTTTACGACATCTGTACTTACCATGGTGATGAAGTTTCAACAGGCCCCTCCGTCTCTGGTCTCATGCTCGACTGACGAGTCACAAGTTGCGCTTTTCTCTCCGCGGGGCGTTTCTGTTTCTTCCCTCAGAGTCTGACCGCGGATCACACGCGTCCATGTTCGGCTCCGTCTCACACAGCCATGCAGAACCATCACCTGAAGGAACACTTGTATAAAATCCTGGTGATCTGGGTGTGGGGAAAACCAGCATCATCAAGCGCTACGTGCACCAGAACTTCTCACCGAACTACCGCGCGACGATTGGCGTGGATTTCGCGCTCAAAGTTCTCAACCTCCAGCAGGAGACCGTCAGACTACAACTCTGGGACATCGCCGGTAATTTTATTATTATTATTATTTTTTTTTTTTAATTATTATTATACATTTCTTCTGGGCCTAAGATTGTAAAGTTCCCAAATAAATAAATAATAGGAACTAAATTACACAATTTTATAAATGCATTAATTTGTATAGTCATATGTAGCCTACAGTCTTAGACATTGACATGTGCGTAGTATTTTACGTTATTTTTCTTTACTCTTAACTTGTCACAAAGTTGTGAATAACTTGCACAATGATAGATAGATAGATAGATAGAAATCATTCAATTTTATTGCTTTCTAGTTTTCTTTTTGATACTAAAAACTGACAAAAAAAAGTCCATTCATATAGGCTAGAGTTTTGCAATTTCATATATAACATTTTATATATAATTTATATAAAGGCTTTATATAACGTTATAATGTTATGTGAACCAAACCTATTCAAATATGTCGTAATCTAATTACGAAGCCGCATTGTTTTATTCTCCAGTCTCTCTTGAATAACGATCCTCACGCGCGCTGGCTCTGTCATGTGTTCGTCGCTCATGTGAGGGAGATTTCCACATAAACAAACCAGAAGGAAAACAGGAACGTCGTTGTAAATAGATTAAATGAGCAGAGGCATCAGAGAGGAGCGTGATTTGTCATTGTTTAGTCGTTCCCAAGAAAAAAACCCCAAATCAACTCGATTATAGAGGTAGGCTATTTAAGCACTCAACGTTTACATGACTGAATGTCTTTACAATAAAAAAGCTCGATATTAAATGGAAAGAAAACATGACATCTTTTGTTGTAAATGGCAACTATTTATTTCTCAGCTGTTGGACTCATTTATTATAGGACGTCTCATGTTGCTGCACTACCCAGCTAACAAAAATATGTTCAGGGAACGTTTTGCCATTAAGTTATGAGGAAATTATTTCTGGATGTTCTCTAAAAGTTCAAAAGGTCCTTTTTTTTAAATGTTTACATTTTTTCTTGTTTATGCAAACATTAAGAGAACATTCCATTTTAGAATTTTGCAAACATTATGGAATGTTACTTTTCAATATTCTCTGAACATTCTGAAACAAGTAGCAACATTTCAAATATGTACAACTACAATGTTTCAGAAAGAAAGAAAAAAAACATTCCATGAACAATGTACAAATAATGGTTGTGTGCTAACATTTTTAGACTGCTACTAAAGACCACAAAAGTTCTTGGAAAAATGTTTATTCATAACTTTGAGAGAACATTGCCAGAAAGTTCTGAGAACATTCTCTGTTAGCTGGGTAGTTTCCATTGCTCTCTTCATAGTTTCTCAGTCTTCACTCCACTGCTCCAGTAACTTCTGACACTAATCCTGAGCACTGAGCTTTAAGTTTTTCACTGGAGCTCAGTGGAGCCGTTGGAATGTGCTTTTCCTCATTAACGATATCCAGGCTTTAGTTCGGACCCTTGGAAATGTGTACAAGAATCTCAAAGTACGATCACGTGGATCAGAAAAAGCAGAAAGACTGAAATTCTCTCACATTCACCCGAGGCTTCAGCTGAAAATAAACCTCTCACTGTTGTCTTTGTGTTCTGCTATGATCATCATGAAGTCACGGTGAAATGTGTGTGTTCATGACCTATATAGCTGGTGTTTACAGAAGACTCTTGTGCGGTTTGTTCTGATTCAATTTCTTCTGCAGGCCAGGAGCGTTTTGGGAACATGACGCGGGTGTATTATCGAGAGGCCATGGGAGCCTTCATCGTTTTTGACGTCACCCGGCCATCGACGTTCGAGGCGGTGACGAAGTGGAAGGAGGATCTTGACGCCAAGTTGAGTTTATCCAATGGCAAACACGTGGCGGCCGTGTTGCTCGCCAACAAGTGCGATCAGGGCAGAGATGTTCTCACTAACAATGGCATCAAAATGGAGCAGTTCTGCCAGGAGAACGGCTTTGTGGGATGGTTTGAAACTTCAGCCAAGGTACATCATGAATTATCATTTAAAAACTGCTTTCATATCACCAGCAGAGTCTTCAGATATTCAATGTGATGTGCACAGAGGTTAAAAGGTCGAGTGAAAGGTCATCGTATGATCTAGTTTCCATTCTGTTTGTTTGCGGTTTAATTGGTTGAAAGAATCATTTACACTTGACACACAATCATTCATGGATTCTTGTTTCCGCCATGAGATAAAAAAAAAAAAAACCCGTAAATGCAGCTTTTTATCTCACAATTTTGACTTTTTCTCACAATACTGAGTTTGTTTCTCACAATTCAGACTTTTTTCTCGCAATTCTGATTTTTAAAAAAAAAGAGAGATGTTCAACTTGCAATTACAAGGAAAAAAACTGATTTCGGAGAAAGTCTCAATTACCTTTTTTTTTTTTTTTCCATTGCAGAAAAAACAAAACAAAATTGTGAGGTATAAACTTGCAATTTTGAGAATAAAAGGCAGAATTACAAGTTAAACTCAGAATCTGAGTTTTTTTTTTTTTCCCGCAATACTGAGAATTTTTTTTTTTTTTTTTTTTTTGCAATTGTGAGATTGCACAAAAATTCAGAATTGTGAGATAAAAGTTGCAATTACCTTTTTTATTTTTTTAGTCCATGGCAGAAACAAGCCTTGTGTCGGTTCAATTTCTGCTCACCAAGACTGCCGTTATTTGATCAGAAATGCAGTAAAAACCGTAATAATGTGAAATATTATTGCAGTTTAAAATAACTGTTTCCTATTTGCATTTACTGTAAAATGTAATTTATTCCTGTGACCAAATCTGAATTTTCAGCATCATTACTCCAGTCTTCAGTGTCACGTGATCCTTCAGAAATCATTCTAATATGCTGATTTGCTGCCCAAGAAACATTTCTGATGATCAATGTGGAAAACCGTTGTGCTGCTTAATTTTTTGTGCAAACTATCATACATTTTATTTTTCAGGATTTTTGATAAATAGTAAGTTCAAAAGAACAGCATTCATTTGGGATAGAAATCTTTCGTAACATTATAAATGTCTTTACTGTCACTTCAAACTGATCAATTTAATGCGTCCTCGCTGAATAAACTCTTACTGACCCCAACCTTTTGAAGAGTAGTGCATGCAAAATGAATGAGCTGTTAGATTTCTCCTTTTGTGCTCCAAGGAAGAAAATGATAACAGAATTAAATTTTTTTTTGGATGAGCTATGTGAATCAGTAGTGAATCAGGTGTTTGTGTGTGAAGATCATTAGAGCTGACAAAACCACTCACACACGTTCTGCTGACTCACAGTCCTTCGGCTACAGTACGTCATGAATATTCACAAGCTAATTAATGCAGTCACAGCCAGAGACGAAGTGTGTGAACACTGACAGGAAAGGTACTATCACTCTCTCTCTCTCTCTACAGGAGAATATTAATATAGATGAGGCTGCGCACTGTCTGGTGAAGCACATTATAGATAATGAGAATGATCTGCTGCAGTCAGAGGTTGCAGACACCATCTCGCCACAGCAGGAGTCCAGCCGCGGAGGAACCTGCTCTGCGTGTTTTAGGTCCTGAAGAAGATCTCCAGAGGAGCGCTTCTCCATTCAACCTCATCCT